TCTGATTCTTGTGTCATTGGACTGATGACAAAGACAACAGAGAAATGAAGCAGTAAAGATCAGAGACAGAGACAGAGCTGCTGTGGAAGCACAAAACTGTTTGATTGGCTCAGCGATTAAACTGGCCCCGCCCACTGAAGTTGAGCTCATCCAATGACATTATTTGTTGGTCATTGTGCTGCAGTGGAAGAACATTGTTCATGTGTTGTCTGTCTGGCTTTAATAACTCCAAAGACATGTTGCTGCACCTCTTTTTGCTTCTATCTCACATTATAGGTGAGTTTAAGAACAGGGATTAAAGTTTAGTTGAAGCTGCTGCATTAAGCAGATATACAGACTGCATTTCACTACTTTTCTTCTTTCTTTTTCCAGGACTCACATTATAGGTGTGTAAGATCTCACCTGGATGCCTTCTGCCCTCACAAAATCAGGTTTTCGCCAGAAAACTTCCCTAATATCTACAAAGGTGTTTCAACACCGTTCAGACAGACATCAGTTTATCTGCCAGTTTTGAAAACTACATAGTGGTGCATTGTTTTGGCAGTGTTACACACCGAATGGACCCAGTGCAGGTGGTGGGAGACAGAAGGACTCTGGCCAAAATAACATCTCTGATGGACAGAGTCTCCACCCCATGCATGTAAATGTTGCTGAACTACAGAGCTCCTTCAGTGACAAACTGCTGCGTCCTCAATGGATGAAGAAGTGATTCAGCAGGTCCTTCCTCCCTGCAGCTTCAGACTGCACAATCAGAACTGTTCCCAACAATCAGAGAGGTTTACATCAGCGCTGCAACTGATTCACACTACAACCTGGGTTCACCTCTTATCTGTATTTAACTTTATGTAACTTTAATACCTGTACAGTACCCTGTTTTGGGTAACTCTTGTCCATGATGTAAATAACACATTGTGTTTGTTTCTGTTCTGTGTGCTGTTTGTTTGTAAATGTGTTTGGTTCGGGGGGGTTCTCCTGCTGTTACAACCAAATTTCCCCTTATGGTACAATTAAAAGATTATTCTGTTCTGTTCGTTTTAGTGCTCTGGGATTGACAACCAGGAGTCATTGTGATTGACGTGAGTGATCATTTTCTTAGACAATAGTTTCAGGTTTTTATTTTAATGAGGTTTCATTTCAGTGAAGTTTGTGGTGTACTCTTCTTTTATCTGACCCAAACACGCGCCAATGAGAGGGACAAAATCCTCTGACTCTGCTTCCAACAGGAAGTGACTGCTAGTCGTTGCTATAGCAACATGTAAACACTGCTTTTGCGTGGAAACCAGTTAATGCAGTTCGCTCCAGGTTGACGCGCATGTCGTTAAATACAGAAAAGCGCAACGCGCCCGGTCTTCAAACCTGACGTTTGAAAGGCTTTTGTATCGTTTTCATTCATAACAGGAGCTGTAGTTTAGTTCAGTCACTGACATCTGTCATGTCGGGGCAAAGAGGAAACCAAGAGCAGAAAGAAACAAACACAGAGCCAGGCGGAGACACCGCGGAGGAGGACGGCGGGGAGCCGGGAGGAGAGGAGGTGAGGTCCGGCAGTTCGGCTTCAGGTGAGTCCAGGTGGGCTGGAGCTCCTGACAGTGCTCGGATAAAGAGAATGTGACCTTTTTCACAGCAGCAGAGACTCGTGTGGCGCAACTCACATCAAAGGTTTTATTGCACTGGAGGGGAGAAATACTGAAATGCTGTTTGTCTGGATTGTGACTGAGCACGGCCAGACTCGACAGCACCTCTGTGTCTCTGTGTGTGGTTGCAGTCAAGGTGGTGCTGGTGCCGGAGGGCCACGTGATGACGGTGGCGTTTGCTATCGAGCTCAGCATTCACGAGCTGAAGCGTCACCTCGCCTCAGAGCTCCGAGTCCCAGCAGACGTGCTTCAGATCTCTCTGGACGGTTCGTTTCTTTCTCCTGACCCAGTATGAACCTTCCAGATCCCTCAGGTCATCTGGATCCGGTTTTTTATCAGTTCCCAGAGTCAGAACCAGACACGGAGAAGCTGCATTCAGCTTTTATGCTCCTTATATCTGGAACAAACTCCCAGAAAGCCTCAGATCAGCTGAAACACTCAGTTTATTTAAATCCAGGTTGAAGACTCACCTGTTCTCAGCTGCATTTGAATAAAGCACCAAATCCACACTTTTAAGCTTAAATTTCAAAACTTACATTTAACTACTGATTTTATCTTTTGCTTATTTTTAATCAATCTTAAATCTTGCTTTTTATTTGTTTTTGTTTTTAATGTCTCTGTGAAGCACTTTGAATCACCTTGTTGTTGAATTGTGCTCTATAAATAAACTTGCCTTACTTCCACAAGTTTTTCTACAGAGTCGCACTTTGAACATGACGACTAGTGGACATAGGTGTCAGTTGTCTAGACAACCCTACAAAGTCTTTACCGTCCTGCCATATGACAGTCACTAGTATCCTGTCTGGTAGTTGCTTCAGTTATTTGCCTTCAAGTTGAGAGGAGTGTTTTTTCATTTCCTATGATGTTTGGTCACCAAGTCGCTGCGAGCTGCTGCCTGTGTGGATACAGATTAACAGGTCAGTGTGTTTTTAGGCAGAGCGGTGGAGGAACACAAGAGTCTGATGGAGCTCGGCGTCAGGCCTCACAGCTCCACCCGGATGGAAATGAGCTCCACTGACCCAAGCTTCCACCCACTCCGCCCTGTTCGCCCCCTAGAGCACGACAGCATGCCCGATGTTATCACCGTCCAAGTTGAAGCAGGTACGAATACAGAAGCTGCTACCTGTCCGTATACACAAAGTGCTTCCATTAGACATGAAAGCACTAAGAAATCACGAGTTACATCTGATTTATATAAAACTACAAGACTCCATAGGAAATAACGCTGTAAAGATAAGGACAAGAGAGAATCCTCATAATGTGACGTGCATTCATTTGAACCGACTTTTAGCTAAACAAGTTTGCCAGACCTGGTTTAATCCTGGTGCCAAGCTAAAGATTTCCATACAAAGATATGCAGTCATTGTCTCTCAGAGGGGGGGGTGCTTCAGGGGGTGGTGGTGGAGATTGAGCGCCCACGCCATCAGAAAGCCTTCCTCGGTGGCTACAGGTATCGGCTGACGGGGCTGGAGTACCATCACGCCGCAGTCCAGACGCTGCCCAAGAGGAGACCTGATAGAGGAGTGGCGGTCTTCAGCCGCGACACACAGGTACAGAAAACAGCTTCAAAAGCACCACAGTTTATATCAGAGTCAAAACTGGGACTAAATAAGTCTTTACATAAATAATGGAAAAGATCGGCACAGGACGCCCAGACTTCATGTTCAAATTAAACAATGTAATTCTAGAGATAAGCAGCGAGTGTAATGAGCTCCCTGGACCAACAGAGACAAACGCCTCTGAGGATTACAGCGCTCAGCTGCGCTGATGTGCTCATTTAAACATTCATCTACTTTCTTTGGTTAAAATCTCTTAAACTCTCCACACTCGAGGTTTTATATGGTCAGTGCTGCAGCTTTCTGTCAGTTTTACCTCACAGGGGATCTTTTCTTATTCCTTTCACTTATCCCATCACAGTCAATACTTACTTAATTTCAGTTTGAATTCAGTTTTAGTTACTACTCGAGTACTATTACACCAAATGTCAATGAGATTAACATTACAGTAATCTTATTATTTATTAAAAACCTTCCATTAACCACATTGAAACAAAACCCAGCCGAGTCAAACAAAACAAAGTCACGAGGTCTGTCTGCAGGCCGGAAGCTCCTCACACAACTTTCACATTTTTTGGTGTTAACTTTGGCTACATGTTTAAAGACGTTGCTCTTAAAGCCAGTCGGCCCCTGATTTAGTTTGTTTTCTCTGTTTCAGACAGTAGAGCTGAAGTCTCAGGCTCAGCAGTGTCCAGTCAATGCCTCCACCCAGATGACTGGCATCGGCTGCTACGTCTCCTGCATGAACGACAGGTTGGTGACTCCAGGGACATACACCACTGCTGATGAGCACCACGACCGGAGGCTGAGAGCTGTGAGTGTACACTGAGCGTGTGTGGTTGCAATGCAGTGTTTCTGAGCACCTGCTGTACCAAGTGTTTGGACATACCTGCTCTTTCATGCTGTTTCCAGCTCTGTAGAACAAAACTGAAGAGATCAAAACTAGGAAATAACACATTTGAGCTTCATAGTGCGAGTGATGATTCAGTGTTGCCTTGACTTCTGAATAGAAATGTGACCAGCAATGCTGCGCTGTTAGAGCTCAGCATGCTTTATGGTGGGAACACATGCTCAGATTTCTGAGGCTTCAGGCTGCTGGCCCTCTGTGTTACAGTGAAGTCTTGCTCTGCTTCTTCATCTCGGGGATTCACGGTGTTTGAACTTTCAGATTTTTGGTGTTTGAAATGGTTTCGATGTCTTCAGTCTCGTTCTGCATCACAGAAGATGAAGAGCAGTTTGTGTGTGTAGTTATCATATACGCAGTCAATTCAGTCCCACTAAATATAAAAAATACATTTAGTGGGACTAAGTATATGACCCGTCACACACCCAGGTGATCCGTCTGCAGACGTTTGCTCGGCGCTGGTTGGCCCAGCAGGCGGTGGACCACCTGCGGAAGGAGCGAGCCCGGCGGTCGGCCTGGCTGGAGATGCAGGAAAGGAGGAGGAACGAGGAGAAAGAGGAGCAGCTGAGAGACCGCCGAAACCGCTGGCTGAATCCGAAGAGGCAGGAGGACTTCAACCTGCTGTACCAAGCTCTGGAGAGTAGGCTTTAGGGGCAGGAGGAGTTCCCCGCTTTATGTCTGCGAATGCAGCAGAGCAGTTACGTATTTAACTTTGTGTGTCTCAGAGTGGAGGAACGAGGAGGAGCAGAGGATCAGCTCGTCCCTGCGAGGAGCTGAGAGGAAAGCAGCTCTCTGTGCGCTGCTGGACCAGGAGATGGATCTCATTGCTGCTATCGGACGCCATCACATCGCCGTTCACAGCGACAACTACGACAAAGCTGTCAGGAACTTCCTGGACAAGGTCAGAGGTCGCTCCACCTACTCTACTCCAGCTCTCAACCCAATTTCATAATTTATCTTTTATATGCAAATGAAAGTCATCAGTAAACACAAAAAGAGAACCATGGTTAAGTGTGTAGTCACATCATCTTAATTTGATTTGGATTTTACGCACCTTCAGTTTGTTGCGGTGCTCGTTAGAAGATGTTTAATACAAGGTGGAGCCTGTTTCATTCTTATTCACGGCACTTCAGTCAGTGCAAGGCTGCTTGCTACACTAACAAGCACTCTCATCACATGCTTTCGTAGCACGATGTTCCAAAGAGATTCTAATGCTGTCAGTAATGTTTGGGTTTCTTATGGTGTTTCACACCAAATGTGACAATAAGCTTGTTGTTCGTTGTGAATCATCGATGCAACCAGAATCTAAAAGTG